AGCCGGTCTGACGGTTGATGCCGATCTCCTCGACGTTCTCGATGGGGAGGAGGCCCCTGGGGAGGTTGAGTTCCTCGAGGAGGTCGATGGCCTTCTGGCGGCAGAGGTCGTCGCCCGTGTAGATCTCCGCGCCGGGGCGGTGGGCCTCGATGGTCTGCTGCGCCATTGGTGGAACGTGGACCTGCGGTGGGGTTACGAGCGGGGCGGATCGGTGGAGCAACCGGTGTCTGAAGGAGAAGGTGACGACCCGTCTGCTGGGGATGAGGAGGAGATACCGGTTGATAAGTGCCTGGAGGGTTCGGGGAGAGCGGGGTGGGTTTTTATAGTGTGTGGGCCTGACCTCCGGGGAATGAACGAAAGGTTGGCCACTTAGTTTGCTGGACTTAGGGGGGATGGACGACAGGCTGCGGTTTTGATCGCCGCCTCACGGACAGCGGTTGCTATTCAATGCTCCGTCAAACCCGGCGGCGAGGTCAGCTGTTGTGAAGCATCCAGGTTTCACAGCATTTAAGGCATCCTTCTTGCTTCTGGCAACCTTGTAGCCTTTGGTTCTTTCTCCGATCCTTATTCGGTGGTGCTTCGGGCCCGCGATACTGGCGGCTCCCTCAGCGCCTTTCCATGAGACGATGCACCACATCTACCTGCCATCCCAGCATGCACAACTAGAGCCTGCACACCTCTTCTTCACGACACTGGTCGTTACCATCGACAATCCGCTCGTCCGATAGAATTTGAGATTCTTTTTTTAAAGGCGAGAATAACAAGGTTTCCTTCGGTATGGGGGGTCAAGTCGACTGGTACAATCGGGGAGCGTCAAACTACTCTATCTGTCTACGTGAGCACTCTCTCTCTCTCTCTCTCTCTCTCTCCTTCTCTCTCGCACTCCCTTTCTTTTACTCTCTCTCTCTCTCTCTCTCTCTCTCCCTTCCTCTTCGTCTCATGTAGGGATATCGAAACTGCGGAGAATGTATTGAGAATCTGGTAACCAATGGACCACGAGAGATGAGATATATAAAAACAGTGGCATGATGTGTCCAGACCCAATAACAGGATAGTTCAATCAAATGGATTTTATTCGTGATGGATTCGTATAATTACGTGGGGAAGATCGCTTATTTCGTTATGAAACTTGTAGTCGTCTAAAAATATTCGGATTCCCTAGGCAGCTGATCTCGTATGTAGAACTCTTACTTCATAATCTTGTCTGTAGAATATTTGGAATAACGGGTTTTCTTTGATCCATTGGTCTACGCGTTACTTGGACTGGGAGTCTTGCAACTCATTGAAATGGAAAGCGCAACAGACCACAGCACACGTAGGTTTATCTAAAACCGAGTCTGAATTAAAAAACTGCGCTCAGAGTCTCGAGGAAAAAACGAGTGGACTCGTTTAAAGTCAGCCTGACGATTAATAAGAAGCTTCCAAGATCATCCTTCGCTTGTTTAATGCAACCAACGGCGAGGCTTGGTTTTTGTACTGAATACTCTGTCAAACCATTGCCCAAGTTGGCCGTTGTTCCTGCTCCGGTCGTTCACAAGGACTTTTTTGGGCCGCTATTAAATAAATTAGTCTTGATTAACGCCACCCAGCCAAGCCAGTGGAGCCCCATAAATAGGCCAGGAAGTTGGGGGCGGCCGGTGAGCTTGCCAAGTTTCGATGGACGCTCTCACTGTACACGGCCTTGTTTCATCCTTCCACAATCCGACTGGGTCCGCCTTTCTTCCATTAAAATGAAGATTGGCATCAGCTGCGGGACCGAACGTGAACATTGAGGGATGAGAGGAAGCCAAGAGCCGATCCACACTGGCATCCAATGACATCGACGGTGCGAGTGAAGACCTTTCTCGTCAAGTGGACCGTTTACGCCACCCTTTTTGGGTTGTTCTACTCGCTACCCATTCTTGTGAGCCCTGTTTATAATTTGCGTTTAATTGGAAGGGGTGGGTAGAATTCATTTTTTGGGAAATGGGAAAAGTTGTCCTCATGTTTCGTAAATGGTCCGTTGACTGGGTGTGGAAATTGAGGGATTTTAGTATTGAATCTGTCACCCTGTCTCACACGGAGTCACCACAGCATCATGCGGAAACATCCATCAGCTCTGTACACATCATAAAGCTGCTGTTCTTCACTACATCTTAATGTTCTCCGTGTAATTGTTCCCTTCTCTTTTGGGGGACTTCCTAACCACAGTTCCTTGCTCGGGTGGTTAGTGTAACTGAGAAGAGAATAAACCGGCAAGTAATAAATAATTGAGAAGCGCAAGCGCCTTGCATTTCCTAATCCAATTTGGGACACGGAAGCGCTATTATTCAACAAGGAATGGGACCGGGACGGAACCAAATATGTGAACTCATTTTCCCTGCGAGCATTAGATCCTTTGACTCTTTCTTCTAAAGTTCCGTCCACACTCGACGCCGCTTTTCACGATAATGGACTTCGACAGAGGATGCTTGGAGAAGACATTGAAAGTGTAAAACACCCTGTTCAACGGTTATCTCAACCGCGTTTACCTTGCAAAGTTTTAAATAGTTTAACGGTTCATTAGATTAGTTCACGGACAGGAGTTGACCCCTGCTGCTTTGCGGAGGGAGGGCAGACATTCAACCTGACGCCGTCATTATTATGGATTATTTCCGAAAGCATGCGGCCATTCCGAGTTGGTAGTTCATTGGCCAACCGATGAGCACCAGTTATGATGATGATCACAGCATGACTGACCGCTAACCTCCTATCGGCTTGGCAGAGCAACCAATACCGAATGTCGGCGAACCATTTATGTAAGGAACACTTTATGCTTACTTTCCGCAAGTCAAACCTACAAGTTATCACGATCTGGCATTAGACGCACGAGAAACAGCTGCATCAACGTGCGGGGCACGCCACAGACAACCGGAGTGGCAGCCGCCCCGTTTCCCCGAAAGCTTAACCAATGGTACTGAACGCTCTCTCAAACCTCCGGCGAACATGGCCCTCATTCATGCCCCGATGACCAACGGGCATACCGGCGGAACCCTACCTAGTTTGAACACTTTATGCCCTCATTCATGTTCGTTTATCGTCCTCAATTCGCTCTCCCCGCTCGATGGCGATTGGCTCCATCGTGGGAGATACCGCCCTCTTTCCTTCACACCACATAAAACACAGCAGGCGATTTCGTCAAGAGGGATACTCATCTTGATCGCTTTCGCCTCAGGTGTGGCACAAACTAATGTATTTTATGTTAATTCAACGCTTCATCATGAACTTAGCCTTTTCCCCTCGGTAAATTTTAGAATTTACCCCGGAACTTACCCATGGTGACACATACGATGGAACCACGCAAGCGTTTTCAGAAGATTTACTTTTTCATTGGGCGAGTCTTATGATACATTTTTCAAAGCAAAGGCTGCGACTCGTCTCTCCCGTTGGAGTTAGATGAGAAAGATGCTTCGAACACAACATCCCTTGTTCCTGATGAAGACGATGTTCTGCTGGGAACTACGTGAGAGCCAAAAGTTTATCATCATCATATGTGGTAGTTTGTTGTGCTTCTACTCTATCATCATCATCATCATCGCTATTGGAAGTACCATCCTTTCATTGGGTCCTGGGCGACTTGTCCCCATTTAAGAGAGCATTCAGTGAGTACGTTTCGCCCGCCGCCGGTGGCTTTCTACGGTAGATTAACAGGCAGCCAACTTCGTCAGGGATTCGATACAGTGTACTAGGTTGACGGGCTGAAGGGTGAACCTTGCCGTAGAGGCTCAGAACATGCACAGGACGGTGGGAATGAGTGCCAGTGGCGGAAGCCGAAGGAATACGTGGGGCAATGCTAGCGAGCGAGAAGAGCACACACAGCGACCTGGCACATGCAGGGACAGAGAGACCGAGCGGACCGATTTGCGGGCTGTGAGAGAGAGAGAGAGAGAGAGAGAGAGAGAGGTGCATCGAATGGATCTGCCAGGAAGAAGCGCGGAGGATATGCCTAAGAACAGTTGATGCTGAGAAGGAACGGCTGCCACACAAGGAGAAACACTCATACATACTCGGAGATGAGGTGCCCTACGACTTTGCTTTTATTTTCAATGCTGTAAAGCCTGAACGGTCCTCTTCGGGCTTCCCTAAGACCAACGCTTGCAGTAAAGAAGAACAAGGAGAAGCACATTGGCAAGGATAATTTCCCATTTGCTACGTAGAACCCAGTGCCCCAAACTTCTCACGTCCCCTGAGAGAGAGAGAGAGAGACAGACAGAGAGCTTAGAGGTCTGGACGGAAGATCGAATCACAAAGAGAGAAAAGGAAACATATAACATCCACTGCATCACTTTCGAAAACTTATTTCCGTATCCAAATGATGCGGCATGGCAAGAAAATCAGCTAGTAAGATTGTGATGACTAAAACTGATTGGTGGGTTCGTCCGATTGCTTGAAACCTTATTGTAAAAGTGCGACTTCTCCATTCGACTTCGCTTCATCCATTACGGGTCACGTTTTACAATATAAATAATGAAAACCGGTATTCAAAATAAACAGCCAGAGTTCAAGGATATCGTCTAAACATGGCCCTTTACTAGGCGGGTCAATCTGTGACGATTATTTAATCCGGCCGACTGATCACTACTAAGCAGCAAGCAATCACGCAACCACGCGGATCATTTGTTAACACTTCAGCTGGACTGTTTGACGAAGAACACCTTGATTCACTATGTCAATGAGACTCCCAATGCGCCAAACTTACATGATTAACTGCCTCAGTCTGATGGCCTCGATTCCACAACTCCGAAGGTTCCTCCGAGACGACCTCAGATCTCTGTTCCCCCCGCTCTCCCTCAGCCAATCTTTTCTCCTTATATTTACCCGGGAAAAAAGAGAAGACAAAAACGACATGGCAGTAACAGTGGGCGACTTCATTGTCCGAACTCCATTGACAGTACCATTAAAGAATAAGTCATAGTTCTTTAGTGAGCGTTGTAAGTCGACCAAAGACAATCAACAATTGTATCGTCGATTCTGTACAACTATCAGGTGAGTAATCTCTGGTTTCCCTGCTCCTCGAGCTCGAAGGCCGAGGCCGGGTAGGTCTTCGAGAGTCCCGCGGGCGTCCTGAAGGTGATCTTGGTGGTGTCCTTGGGGTTCACAAAGAACTCTCCCAGCGGGATCCAGACGAGCATCTCCCTGGACTTCACCCCCGTCACCCGCCGCATGCGGCGGTCCTCCACGAAGCCCGTGACCTCGGCGCCGTAGGAGACGAGGCGGCCGGCCTTGCGGAAGGTGTAGTTGAGGGCCTTCTTCTGGCGGAGCCACACGAAGCCGGTCTGACGGTTGATGCCGATCTCCTCGACGTTCTCGATGGGGAGGAGGCCCCTGGGGAGGTTGAGTTCCTCGAGGAGGTCGATGGCCTTCTGGCGGCAGAGGTCGTCGCCCGTGTAGATCTCCGCGCCGGGGCGGTGGGCCTCGATGGTCTGCTGCGCCATTGGTGGAACGTGGTTCTGCGGTGGGGTTACGGGCGGGGCGGATCGGTGGAGCAACCGGTGTCTGAAGGAGAAGAAGAAGGTGACGACCCGTCGGCCGGAGAAGAGGAGGAAAGAGAGCTGGCTGATGAAGTGAGGTGATGGGTGCGATGGAGGCGAGCGGGAGGGATACTTATATAGTGCGGTCTTCGCGGGGGACGGATAAGGGAGACGGCTGGTTTAGCGTGTGCGGCGCACAGCCTGGCGCGGGACCGTGGGACGGAATGGACCAGAGGCTGCCGTTTGGCTGGCACGGGTTCTCAGGGGACGGATGAGAAGCTCTGGCTTGGTCGTCCGGGTGAGTGGAATCGGGGGTGTTGAATGATCTTCGAAACTGGCGGCGAGGCAGGCGGTTGTTCAATGTCCGATGATCCACGGGAACGCCGGCATGGGCCTTTGGATTGAAACACTCTAGTTATCATCACCTAAGGATGCCACCTGGCCCTCATAAGTACACAGCGACTTCTGACGGAGAAAACGAAGCGGGGATGTGGGACCCACGCGATTATGGTCCCTTCCTTATGGGTTTTAATAGCATCCGTGACAAAAGGGAAGCCAGTGGTAGTGAAGGTCAACTGAGGGAGGGGCAGAATCACGTTGAATGGAAACGTTCCAAACATGCTGGAAACGACGAGCATCAAGATTCTCCGGCCTTGGTAAATTTTCGGTTAGGGATCTGGTCTGCGAATGACTTCACAAGGTGGAGTATCTACGTATGGGGACGTGAGACACTGTGCCCACCCTCTTTTGCCAACACTCCCTGCCTCTCCGCTTAGTTATCGCTCTCACTTGCATAGTCGGTGGTCCGTCCCCGCGCCCCCCCGCCTCGCGGTTTCTCTAGTATCCATGTCTCTCCTTCTGCCTCACCGGTTCCACATTTCCGCCACTCTCGAATGTGCGCTCAAACATCCGAGGCAATTGTGGACCAGGCAATAATCCCTAATCCAAGGGTGGACTATTTCAGATAGTGAGGGTTACTGCATGGGGTGCGGGGGAGTTAGGGTGTGAAGAAATCGTATACATCAACGTCAGATACAGATTCGGAGCCGGCCGACAGACTTTAAGACCGAACTGGAGGCTACTAGGTTCTTGGAGGGAGGGAGGGACGGACGATGAATTGAATGCTGTTCCAACCCGGCAGTCCGAGGTCAAACAACTGCGTACAAGGCCGTCCCTCAGAGCAACCAATAAATACCCGCCGGATCAGCTACGACGGCAGCGAAAGCACAACCTCCCATTCATCCCCCCAACCCTAGGCTCCCAAACCTTTGCCGACTAATCGCCGCCTTAAGTCCATTCCCTCAGTATCGTCGCACGCCCGGATGTGACACCCACGCGTTATACCATCTGTCCGTCCTACAAGTCACTCGGGGAAACCGTGCTCTATAAGAACCCACCCCGCTCTCCCCGAACCCTCCAGGCACTTATCAACCGGTATCTCCTCCTCATCCCCAGCAGACGGGTCGTCACCTTCTCCTTCAGACACCGGTTGCTCCACCGATCCGCCCCGCTCGTAACCCCACCGCAGAACCACGTTCCACCAATGGCGCAGCAGACCATCGAGGCCCACCGCCCCGGCGCGGAGATCTACACGGGCGACGACCTCTGCCGCCAGAAGGCCATCGACCTCCTCGAGGAACTCAACCTCCCCAGGGGCCTCCTCCCCATCGAGAACGTCGAGGAGATCGGCATCAACCGTCAGACCGGCTTCGTGTGGCTCCGCCAGAAGAAGGCCCTCAACTACACCTTCCGCAAGGCCGGCCGCCTCGTCTCCTACGGCGCCGAGGTCACGGGCTTCGTGGAGGACCGCCGCATGCGGCGGGTGACGGGGGTGAAGTCCAGGGAGATGCTCGTCTGGATCCCGCTGGGAGAGTTCTTTGTGAACCCCAAGGACTCCACCAAGATCACCTTCAGGACGCCCGCGGGACTCTCGAAGACCTACCCGGCCTCGGCCTTCGAGCTCGAGGAGCAGGGAAACCAGAGATTAACTGCGTAGTACGTACCCGGATTCGGTCGCTCTACATCTTCAAAATTGAATCTGTACCCTGAAGCAACAAGATGGAATTTTCCATCGCGTTAAAGCTCACAATTCTTTTGATTTTCACAAGATCGCTGTGTTCCCAATTGTTGAGAATCTTGCCAAACGTTCGGGTGAAAATGTCTCCCTAATTTTTGAGGATCTTTCCGCTGATAATCGCAGAAATTTCTTAGGAATAGAGAAAATGGTGAGTGAACAAATGGACGAAGACAACTAGAAATGTCGGCTGGAGATATAACCAGAATATGATGTCCTGTCACATTGTGAAGGGGGAGAATTATCGTTTGACCCGCGTACGCAAACTAAGCCACCTAAATGCTACGAGCTCGACACAAGCGACCAGACATCAAGTCTCCTGAGCGATTATCGCTTTTGAATACCGTGAATCAATGATTTATATTTACAATTGAAGTTCACATCTCTGCCTTGACGACACCTACGCTATACAACTACAACCAACCGACTTTAACCCATTGTTGTCCGCCGAGCATTGTTGCGTAAAGTGAATGAACTCACTTTATGTGCAGAAGACGGGCATCCAACAAATGTTGACCGTCCGAGATAAAACACAAAAGAACAGAGTGCTAGAGCACTTGTAATTTAAGTATGGGGCATCCCGTGATTAAGCATTGGCCGTGGGACAACCATTCTCACGTTAGTAATACTCATAGGTTGGTTGGAAGCCTCTAGATGCGTACTACCGATGTTCCGTTTGGTATGGGGAATCAAGTCGTTCGATATAGTGAGCGAACGTCTGGCTGCTCTGTCTGTCTACTTGCGACCTCTGTCTCTTTCTCTCTCGCATTCACAGTCTTTTACTTTCTCTCGCTCCTTGTCTAGCTCGCTCGCTCACGTGGGGATATCGTCACCACGGAGACGGTGTTGAACATCAAGTAACGAACGAACTACGAGAGATGAGATGCATAGAAACGGTCTCACGATGTATCCGTTGCCAGTAACATGATAGTTCCATCGAATGAACTCTATTTGTGTTGAATTGTTATAACTTTATTCTGTTATGAAAGTTTTAGTGCACTAAAAAAGTACCTGATTCACTAGGAGCCGGATCTATTGTGTAGCAACTCTTACCTCTTAAGTTTGTACCTAGAGTATTTGGAATAACACCTTTCTCTAGTCCTTTGATTTACGCGTTATTTAGAATTTGGAGGCCCGCTACCCACTGAGATGGGGAGGGCAACAGACCACACAACGCGTAGACTTATCCAAAAAAAAAAGACTCAACTAATAAAATGCACTCAGATTCTCGAGAAAGAACATGAGCAGACAAACGGCTTTCCGCACTGAATTATTAACCTACTTTCAAGATCATCCACTGCTTGTTTATTCGACAAACGGCGAGCCTAGATTTCCGCACTGAATACTCTGCCAACCCTCTGTCCAAGTTGGTTGTTATTCCTGGTCCGATGGCTCATGACGATATCTCTGAGCTCCTATTTAATAAATTAGTTCCTATTAACGCATCCCTTGCAAGGCAGTGGAGCGTCATAAATAGGTCAGGAAATTGGGGCCACCGCTGAACTTGTCAACTTTCCGTGTAAGCTCTCACTGTACATGACCTTGCCTGATCCTTCCACAATCCTCTCCATAAAAATGAATGTCGGCAGCAGCTGCGTACCGAAGGAGATCTTGTTAGGGGATGAGACAAAGTCGAGCACCGATTCACGCTGGCATTGAGTTCATCCACGGTGTGACTGAACACGCTTCTCGTCACTTGGACCATTTACACCACCCTTTTGGGGTCGTTTTACTTGGTACTCGTTCTTGTGAAACCCCGTACATGACCTGCTTTTGATAGCAATGGTATCATTCATATTTTGGGAAATGAGAAAAGTGATCCCTTTTATTTCGTAAATGACAAGTCAACAGGGTGTGGGCAATGAGGGATTTTCTTCTCGAATCTAACACTCTGTATCACATAGTCATCACTGCATCATGTTGAAACATCCATCGATTCTCTACACATCATAAAGCTACTGTTCTTGACTACACCTTAATGTTCTCCATATAATTAATCCCCTTTTTTTTTTTTTTACGGGAGTCCCTGGCAACAGAAAGTTGCTCCGGCGGTTACTTTAATCGAGAAGAGGATAAACGAGCAAGTAACAAATAATTGAGAAGCGCAAGCACCTTGCCCTTTGTAACCCGATTTGGGACACAAACGCTACTATTCAACAAGGAACGGGACCGGGACGGAAGCAAAGATTTGAACGCATCTTCCCTAGGAGCGTTAAATCCTTCGCTTGACTCTTTCTTCTAAAGTTGTGTCCACACTCCACGCTCCTTTTCACGATAATGGAGGACTTGACATATGATGCATGGAGAAGACTTTAAAGTCGGAAAACACGCTGTTCAATGGTTACCTTTGCCGCATTAGCTTGTAAAGTTTTAAATAGTTTAATGGTTGATTAAAGTATTTCGCAGACAGGGGTTGACCCTTGCTCCCGCGTGCTGTACGGAGGGAGGCCAAACGTCTAACTTGGCGCCGTCATTATTATGGGCTATTTCCGAAAGCATGCGGGCATTCCGAGCTGATCGTTCATTGGCTAACCGACGAGTACCAGTTATGATGATGATCACGCCATGACTAACCGCTAACCTCCTGTGGGCTTGTTTGAGAAGCCAATAGCGAATGCCGACGAACCATTTACGTGAGGAGCACTTTATGCTTAAGTTCCGAAAGTCAAACCTACGAGTTATCACGATCTTACACTAGGCGCCCGATAAAGAAACAGCTGTATCAACCTGCGGGGAACGCCACAGACAGCTGAAAAGGGGAATGGATGAGCGGCGGCTGCCCGGGTTCCCCGTAAGCTTAACCAATGGCATTGAATGCTCTCCCAAACCTTCGGCGAACATGGGTCTTGTTCATGCCCCAACGACCAACCGGCATGCCGACGGAACCCTACCTAGTGGCCATGTCTAGTTAATGTTAGTTTGGACGTCCTCAGTTCTCTCTCTCCCCGCACGCTGGCGAGTGGCTCATCGTGGGAGATACCGTACGCTGTCCTTCTTACTACAGAAAACCCAGCAGCTGGGTTCGTCAAGCAGGATGTTCATCTTGATCGCTTTCGCCTGGGGTGTGCCGAAAACTTGCATAATTTACGTTCATTCAACGCTTCGTTATAAACTTTGCCTTTTCTCCTCGGTGAATTTTAGAACTTAGCCAGTGTGGGATGTGATGGAACCACGCAGGTTTTTCATAAGATTCAGTTTCTTGCTGGGTCAGTTTGATGATACATTTCTCGAAACAAAGGCTGGGACTCGTCTCTCCCATTGGAATGAGAGCAAAAAGATGCTTCAATCGCGAGAACACACCACCCCTTAAGCTTGATGAACGTGATGTTCTACCAGGGACTAGTTTAGCTATATCATCTTGATATTTGGTAGTCAACTATGCCTCTACTTTATCATCTGGTGTGTGAATCTATGATGAGTGCATGCTAACGAGCTGCTGTGCCGACTTGTGGGCCTCTCCTCGAATAATGCACCCGGCAGGGGAGGGAAAAGAGAGGCTTCTGATTTGCTGGGCGAATGTACTTATCAAACCTCGTCAGGGATTCCATACAGTGTACTAGGTCGACGGACTGAGGGGGCGAACCTGGCCGTAGAGGCTGAGAGGTAGCACAGAACGGTGGGAATGAGTGCTAGTGGCGGAAGCGGAATAAGGATGTGGGCAAAGAAATAGAGAAAGAGGGAGAGAGAGAAAGGGAGACGGAGATGGACTATAAGCATTGAAACCGCGGGGGGATTGGGGGGGGGAGGAGACGGACTTCCGACTATGCGAATGAGAGCGATAACTAAGGGAATAAGCAAGGAGTGTAGAGTGAAAGAGGGTGGGCACAGTGTTTGACATACCCCTATGCAGATACTCCACCCAATTCGTTACCTTGTGAAGTCATTCACAGACCAGATGCATAACAGAAAATTTACCAAGTCAGGCCGAACAATCTTGATGCTCATCTTTTCCGGTACGTATGGAACGTTTCCCTTCAACGTGATTCTGCCCCTTCCTCAGTTGACCTTCACTACCACTGGCGCCTGGATGACCCCTCTTCGAGTTCTGACTTCTCTTTTGTCACGGATGCTATTAAAACCCATAAGGAAGGGACCATAATTGCGTGGGTCCCACATCTCCGCTTCGTTTCCTCCGTCAGAAGTCGCTGTGTAATTATGAGGGCCAAGTGGCATCCTTAGGTGATGATAACTAGAGTGCTTCAATCCAAAGGCCCATGCTGGCGTTCCCGTGGATCATCGGACATTGAACAACAGCCTGCCTCGCCGCCAGTTTCGAAGATCATTTAACACTCCCGATTCCACTCACCCGGACGACCAAGCCAGAGCTTCTCATCCGTCCCCTGAGAACCCCTGCAAACCAAACGGCAACCTCTAGTTCATTGCATCCCACGGTCCCGCGTCAGGCTGTGAGGCCCACACGCTGAACCAGCCATCTCCCTTATCCGTCCCCCGCGAAGACCGCACTATATAAGTATCCCTCCCGCTCGCCTCCATCGCACCCATCACTTCACGTCATCAGCCAGCTCTCTTTCCTCCTCATCCCCAGGAGACGGGTCGTCACCTTCTCCTTCAGACACCGGTTGCTCCACCGATCCGCCCCGCTCGTAACCCCACCGCAGGTCCACGTTCCACCAATGGCGCAGCAGACCATCGAGGCCCACCGCCCCGGCGCGGAGATCTACACGGGCGACGACCTCTGCCGCCAGAAGGCCATCGACCTCCTCGAGGAACTCAACCTCCCCAGGGGCCTCCTCCCCATCGAGAACGTCGAGGAGATCGGCATCAACCGTCAGACCGGCTTCGTGTGGCTCCGCCAGAAGAAGGCCCTCAACTACACCTTCCGCAAGGCCGGCCGCCTCGTCTCCTACGGCGCCGAGGTCACGGGCTTCGTGGAGGACCGCCGCATGCGGCGGGTGACGGGGGTGAAGTCCAGGGAGATGCTCGTCTGGATCCCGCTGGGAGAGTTCTTTGTGAACCCCAAGGACACCACCAAGATCACCTTCAGGACGCCCGCGGGACTCTCGAAGACCTACCCGGCCTCGGCCTTCGAGCTCGAGGAGCAGGGAAACCAGAGATTACTCACCTGATAGTTGTACAGAATCGACGATACAATTGTTGATTGTCTTTGGTCGACTTACAACGCTCACTAAAGAACTATGACTTATTCTTTAATGGTACTGTCAATGGAGTTCGGACAATGAAGTCGCCCACTGTTACTGCCATGTCGTTTTTGTCTTCTCTTTTTTCCCGGGTAAATATAAGGAGAAAAGATTGGCTGAGGGAGAGCGGGGGGAACAGAGATCTGAGGTCGTCTCGGAGGAACCTTCGGAGTTGTGGAATCGAGGCCATCAGACTGAGGCAGTTAATCATGTAAGTTTGGCGCATTGGGAGTCTCATTGACATAGTGAATCAAGGTGTTCTTCGTCAAACAGTCCAGCTGAAGTGTTAACAAATGATCCGCGTGGTTGCGTGATTGCTTGCTGCTTAGTAGTGATCAGTCGGCCGGATTAAATAATCGTCACAGATTGACCCGCCTAGTAAAGGGCCATGTTTAGACGATATCCTTGAACTCTGGCTGTTTATTTTGAATACCGGTTTTCATTATTTATATTGTAAAACGTGACCCGTAATGGATGAAGCGAAGTCGAATGGAGAAGTCGCACTTTTACAATAAGGTTTCAAGCAATCGGACGAACCCACCAATCAGTTTTAGTCATCACAATCTTACTAGCTGATTTTCTTGCCATGCCGCATCATTTGGATACGGAAATAAGTTTTCGAAAGTGATGCAGTGGATGTTATATGTTTCCTTTTCTCTCTTTGTGATTCGATCTTCCGTCCAGACCTCTAAGCTCTCTGTCTGTCTCTCTCTCTCTCTCTCAGGGGACGTGAGAAGTTTGGGGCACTGGGTTCTACGTAGCAAATGGGAAATTATCCTTGCCAATGTGCTTCTCCTTGTTCTTCTTTACTGCAAGCGTTGGTCTTAGGGAAGCCCGAAGAGGACCGTTCAGGCTTTACAGCATTGAAAATAAAAGCAAAGTCGTAGGGCACCTCATCTCCGAGTATGTATGAGTGTTTCTCCTTGTGTGGCAGCCGTTCCTTCTCAGCATCAACTGTTCTTAGGCATATCCTCCGCGCTTCTTCCTGGCAGATCCATTCGATGCACCTCTCTCTCTCTCTCTCTCTCTCTCTCTCTCACAGCCCGCAAATCGGTCCGCTCGGTCTCTCTGTCCCTGCATGTGCCAGGTCGCTGTGTGTGCTCTTCTCGCTCGCTAGCATTGCCCCACGTATTCCTTCGGCTTCCGCCACTGGCACTCATTCCCACCGTCCTGTGCATGTTCTGAGCCTCTACGGCAAGGTTCACCCTTCAGCCCGTCAACCTAGTACACTGTATCGAATCCCTGACGAAGTTGGCTGCCTGTTAATCTACCGTAGAAAGCCACCGGCGGCGGGCGAAACGTACTCACTGAATGCTCTCTTAAATGGGGACAAGTCGCCCAGGACCCAATGAAAGGATGGTACTTCCAATAGCGATGATGATGATGATGATAGAGTAGAAGCACAACAAACTACCACATATGATGATGATAAACTTTTGGCTCTCACGTAGTTCCCAGCAGAACATCGTCTTCATCAGGAACAAGGGATGTTGTGTTCGAAGCATCTTTCTCATCTAACTCCAACGGGAGAGACGAGTCGCAGCCTTTGCTTTGAAAAATGTATCATAAGACTCGCCCAATGAAAAAGTAAATCTTCTGAAAACGCTTGCGTGGTTCCATCGTATGTGTCACCATGGGTAAGTTCCGGGGTAAATTCTAAAATTTACCGAGGGGAAAAGGCTAAGTTCATGATGAAGCGTTGAATTAACATAAAATACATTAGTTTGTGCCACACCTGAGGCGAAAGCGATCAAGATGAGTATCCCTCTTGACGAAATCGCCTGCTGTGTTTTATGTGGTGTGAAGGAAAGAGGGCGGTATCTCCCACGATGGAGCCAATCGCCATCGAGCGGGGAGAGCGAATTGAGGACGATAAACGAACATGAATGAGGGCATAAAGTGTTCAAACTAGGTAGGGTTCCGCCGGTATGCCCGTTGGTCATCGGGGCATGAATGAGGGCCATGTTCGCCGGAGGTTTGAGAGAGCGTTCAGTACCATTGGTTAAGCTTTCGGGGAAACGGGGCGGCTGCCACTCCGGTTGTCTGTGGCGTGCCCCGCACGTTGATGCAGCTGTTTCTCGTGCGTCTAATGCCAGATCGTGATAACTTGTAGGTTTGACTTGCGGAAAGTAAGCATAAAGTGTTCCTTACATAAATGGTTCGCCGACATTCGGTATTGGTTGCTCTGCCAAGCCGATAGGAGGTTAGCGGTCAGTCATGCTGTGATCATCATCATAACTGGTGCTCATCGGTTGGCCAATGAACTACCAACTCGGAATGGCCGCATGCTTTCGGAAATAATCCATAATAATGACGGCGTCAGGTTGAATGTCTGCCCTCCCTCCGCAAAGCAGCAGGGGTCAACTCCTGTCCGTGAACTAATCTAATGAACCGTTAAACTATTTAAAACTTTGCAAGGTAAACGCGGTTGAGATAACCGTTGAACAGGGTGTTTTACACTTTCAATGTCTTCTCCAAGCATCCTCTGTCGAAGTCCATTATCGTGAAAAGCGGCGTCGAGTGTGGACGGAACTTTAGAAGAAAGAGTCAAAGGATCTAATGCTCGCAGGGAAAATGAGTTCACATATTTGGTTCCGTCCCGGTCCCATTCCTTGTTGAATAATAGCGCTTCCGTGTCCCAAATTGGATTAGGAAATGCAAGGCGCTTGCGCTTCTCAATTATTTATTACTTGCCGGTTTATTCTCTTCTCAGTTACACTAACCACCCGAGCAAGGAACTGTGGTTAGGAAGTCCCCCAAAAGAGAAGGGAACAATTACACGGAGAACATTAAGATGTAGTGAAGAACAGCAGCTTTATGATGTGTACAGAGCTGATGGATGTTTCCGCATGATGCTGTGGTGACTCCGTGTGAGACAGGGTGACAGATTCAATACTAAAATCCCTCAATTTCCACACCCAGTCAACGGACCATTTACGAAACATGAGGACAACTTTTCCCATTTCCCAAAAAATGAATTCTACCCACCCCTTCCAATTAAACGCAAATTATAAACAGGGCTCACAAGAATGGGTAGCGAGTAGAACAACCCAAAAAGGGTGGCGTAAACGGTCCACTTGACGAGAAAGGTCTTCACTCGCACCGTCGATGTCATTGGATGCCAGTGTGGATCGGCTCTTGGCTTCCTCTCATCCCTCAATGTTCACGTTCGGTCCCGCAGCTGATGCCAATCTTCATTTTAATGGAAGAAAGGCGGACCCAGTCGGATTGTGGAAGGATGAAACAAGGCCGTGTACAGTGAGAGCGTCCATCGAAACTTGGCAAGCTCACCGGCCGCCCCCAACTTCCTGGCCTATTTATGGGGCTCCACTGGCTTGGCTGGGTGGCGTTAATCAAGACTAATTTATTTAATAGCGGCCCAAAAAAGTCCTTGTGAACGACCGGAGCAGGAACAACGGCCAACTTGGGCAATGGTTTGACAGAGTATTCAGTACAAAAACCAAGCCTCGCCGTTGGTTGCATTAAACAAGCGAAGGATGATCTTGGAAGCTTCTTATTAATCGTCAGGCTGACTTTAAACGAGTCCACTCGTTTTTTCCTCGAGACTCTGAGCGCAGTTTTTTAATTCAGACTCGGTTTTAGATAAACCTACGTGTGCTGTGGTCTGTTGCGCTTTCCATTTCAATGAGTTGCAAGACTCCCAGTCCAAGTAACGCGTAGACCAATGGATCAAAGAAAACCCGTTATTCCAAATATTCTACAGACAAGATTATGAAGTAAGAGTTCTACATACGAGATCAGCTGCCTAGGGAATCCGAATATTTTTAGACGACTACAAGTTTCATAACGAAATAAGCGATCTTCCCCACGTAATTATACGAATCCATCACGAATAAAATCCATTTGATTGAACTATCCTGTTATTGGGTCTGGACACATCATGCCACTGTTTTTATATATCTCATCTCTCGTGGTCCATTGGTTACCAGATTCTCAATACATTCTCCGCAGTTTCGATATCCCTACATGAGACGAAGAGGAAGGGAGAGAGAGAGAGAGAGAGAGAGAGAGTAAAAGAAAGGGAGTGCGAGAGAGAAGGAGAGAGAGAGAGAGAGAGAGAGAGAGTGCTCACGTAGACAGATAGAGTAGTTTGACGCTCCCCGATTGTACCAGTCGACTTGACCCCCCATACCGAAGGAAACCTTGTTATTCTCGCCTTTAAAAAAAGAATCTCAAATTCTATCGGACGAGCGGATTGTCGATGGTAACGACCAGTGTCGTGAAGAAGAGGTGTGCAGGCTCTAGTTGTGCATGCTGGGATGGCAGGTAGATGTGGTGCATCGTCTCATGGAAAGGCGCTGAGGGAGCCGCCAGTATCGCGGGCCCGAAGCACCACCGAATAAGGATCGGAGAAAGAACCAAAGGCTACAAGGTTGCCAGAAGCAAGAAGGATGCCTTAAATGCTGTGAAACCTGGATGCTTCACAACAGCTGACCTCGCCGCCGGGTTTGACGGAGCATTGAATAGCAACCGCTGTCCGTGAGGCGGCGATCAAAACCGCAGCCTGTCGTCCATCCCCCCTAAGTCCAGCAAACTAAGTGGCCAACCTTTCGTTCATTCCCCGGAGGTCAGGCCCACACACTATAAAAACCCACCCCGCTCTCCCCGAACCCTCCAGGCACTTATCAACCGGTATCTCCTCCTCATCCCCAGCAGACGGGTCGTCACCTTCTCCTTCAGACACCGGTTGCTCCACCGATCCGCCCCGCTCGTAACCCCACCGCAGGTCCACGTTCCACCAATGGCGCAGCAGACCATCGAGGCCCACCGCCCCGGCGCGGAGATCTACACGGGCGACGACCTCTGCCGCCAGAAGGCCATCGACCTCCTCGAGGAACTCAACCTCCCCAGGGGCCTCCTCCCCATCGAGAACGTCGAGGAGATCGGCATCAACCGTCAGACCGGCT